GACCACGGAGGCCCTGTGAGGTCCAGCTCCCTATACATAGCACTTCACTACTACACTACAGGGCAGGCCTACTGTGTTTCCCTGAAAGCATTTCATTTTAAATGTTAAAAACCAATAATAAGAACCCAAGTAAAGTCTGTAGTTTACTTACTCGTACTGTACCAATATTCGTTTCTCAGTTTTGATAAATGTACTATAATAATGTAAGCTGTTAACACTAAGAAGAATCTGACAGAGAAACCCTCTGTACCATTGTTACAATTCTGCTGCAAATTTCAAATTATTTCAAAATAAAAATATTGAAAGATAACAGTAAAGGGAGTAAGTAATCCAACAATATGTGTGTTCAAATATTTTTACTCAGGGCCCCAACATACTGGAAGTAAACTGGCTTCAAGTTGACTGTACCACTGAAAGTATGCCTTATGAACACAGTTGCTTACAATAAGGCAGCTAGAATAACTAAATATCATATATCTTAATTTTTATCTGAAATTCTTTCAATTCAGATAACTCTTTTTTTACCCATGGTGATTAGAAGCTGGTTGACTGCTACAGATGTAATGATAATTTTTGTTGAAGTAGGTTGCTGAAGAGACCTGGGCGGCTGGCAGGCTTTGAAGCTCTTACCACGACTCTCAGATTTAGAAATAATAAGGTCAAGAGATTTTGCTAAGATCTAGTAGTGAACTTCGGGATAAAGGAATGAATTAAGAAACCAATGTGTTTTGTATCCTCAGCTGGACTGGTGTGAAGCGTATTCATGTTGGGTAAGTTCAACTTATAAGCAAAGTGATGTATTGTGATTAAATGTATAAAATTGAAAAAAATAGAACAAAAACGTGTGAAACAACCTTACCTATATTTATACAGTTATTTTTCTTTTTTTTAAGGTTTTTCCCATTGGACATGTGTACTCGCCAGAGAGAGAGAGAGAGAGAGGCGGTAAGAAGGAAAGTGAGAAATCATCCCCACGGGAGAATGGCCATGCTGCAATCCCCTTTCTCCCTTCTTCTCCTGGGATTTTGGGCATGCACATATGTGTTCCCAGCATGATTTCAAGCCACTAGGTCTAGGACTTGAACTGTGGTTGGCTGTGGGAGTCCAACACCTTTAATCACCCCACCCTGTTGGTACTTTTTACTTAAGTGTTTTCCAAATAGGAACCAAGTTCAGTGAACAATCGAGCAGTTTGGCAAGTAGTAAATCTGTGGATAATAAAGTTTAAAACAGATTAAATATAGATATATAGACATATGGTGGTTTCCAAGCTGACCGAAAAAAGGTAAATACTAGAGAGGGCTGGATGGCACAGCAGTAATGTGACTTTCTGCTAGGCTGACCTGCCTTGGAAGGTCCCAGCTGTGCATAAAGAGACCTACTTGAGCAGACCAGGCATGTGCGCCCATGATCCAGGGCTGGCAGAGGCTGGTGTCACGATCCTTTTGAGAGGCTATCTCTCTGCTTTTTCTGTCTTTTTCACTCATGGAAGAAATACATAAATTAAAAAAAAAAAAAAAAAGATGACAGCTAGCCCAAACGCCTCATGATTATGGGAGCCAGACCCCAAATGGCTGACCATGGTTTGAATCCAGCCCCAGTAGCTTTAAAAGGCACTGAGCACATGTGGGATGGAAAAATGGAGGAGAAGAGATTGCAACATGGCCATATTTTTTCACTTTCCCTCTCTTTACATTTCTCTGGCAAGTGCATACACTCTCTGGCAAAATTAAAACTCACAGTACTAATAGTACTAGTAATATGGCATCCTGCTCCGACAGGTTATACAAACTTCATGAGAACAGAGATTTGGGCTGCTTCATTCACTACTATGTTTTTAGAGACTAAAACAATATCTGGTACAAGGTAGATGCCAATAAATGTTCACTAAATGAATAAATGTACATAAATCCTTCTTCCTGTCATGTCATCTAGAAGTTCCACAGGGCCAGAGTTGTATCTATTTGGTCCTCTTCTATGGTCCCAGCGCCAAAGTGCCTGGCACATGGGAAGCACTTAATAAGTATCTGTTGAAGTAGCAAATAATGCCCAATGATGAAACTGCCTAATTCTTTTAAACTGCACCACTGTACTGACATCCACAATGTGGCCAGCATCCTCTATTGATATAAAAAGGCCTTCGTAAAAATATATCACCCTTGTGTACACACCCATGTTTAAAATTTTTGTAGAATAAAAATTTCCATTTAAAGTGTGTCAGAGGGATGCATTAGTCTGTCCTAAAGTTCCTTCCCACTAGAAGTTCATGACTTTAAAGCACTGTGATTGGACCAGCCAATAGTGTGGAGATTGGGGCAGCAGGATCCCATGTGGGACTGAGTGTTTCAAATCCTGGACCCTGCAGCTTGAAAAATACATCAGACACATGGTTGTGTGTGTGCCTGCCCAAAATCCTGAGAGAAAAATACAGGAAACCAGACTGTGGTGTGGCATTCTCCTGGGGATGGGTGGTTGCTTTCTCACTTTCCCTTTATCTCTCTCTATCTCTGTCTCTCTCTAGTGAGTACACACACCTGTAATAAATTAAATAGAAAAGTACTGGTTAAATTTTTACCCCTGTAGGAAAGGTGCTGCCTATGATGAATTTTGAAGAGTATCTCCCTTACATGTTTCCTTGTAGAAAGCCGGTGCCTTCCAAAACTATCAAGATGCAGCCAAACACTATCACTCACTCAACAGACTGCCAGAAAGACATCTAGAAATGAACAAGCTGCTTGCATCCTTGGCCTTCTGTGTACGGCACAATAGCTCAGTAACTGTGAGTCATCACCTGGAGAAGAGCAGTTTTCAGGCGGAGACAGGTCCCTGTTGTTGATTCATTCTCACTGTGATGAAGAGGTCTCAGCAGAAAGAGAAAAACAAACCAAAGATTCACAGTCTCCCAAGGGCTCAATCTGGGAGATAATGCTGAGCAACAAATGCCATTTTAGTTTCAATAAGAGCAGATCCAAGAGTTTTGGGGCATTTGTGAGTTTTCCACAAAGTGGAGCAAGAGTCACGCTCTGTGTGAGTTTTTTCATAGAAAAGTCTTTCCAGAAAGTTACCTTTCTGCTTATTTAGTTTTTTGACTCCAGTGATATTTAGTAAGTTTCTGTTACATGTCAGAGTTGTGCCAGGCACCAGAAGGCAACAATATGCAATGCACACCTATTTTCCACCATCCTGGAATTTAAGTGCAGGGACTACTGTCTTCTTATGAAGAACTCTGAGGCTGACAATACAGTGTGCTGGTGGTCTTTGCCTTCTTTCCGTCAGGAAACAGACTTTGTGTCCTAGTCAGAGCTTCTTCTTTTGTGAGGTTTATAGCTCCAGTTCACTCTATGATTGGAGTAATTGATCAGAGATATTTCCCTTTGAGTGCACTCCAAGTAAAACTTGGTGTTTTGTGACATTCTTTCCTCCTCTGAAGGGAGGTTGAACAGAGATACAGGGAGTTGGAAAAAGGTGCAAGGCACTGATGTCATGTATTGCTGTGTTCAAGGTGATTTCTCAAACCTCTTAGTAGGCCCACAAAGCCCATAGCAGCGCTCGCAAAGCCCATAGCAGTAATCACAAGTTCTTCCTTCCTCTTGGAGATTGTAACATGTATGTGAAGAATGCTCATAGAGCAGCTTCCTCTCTCTTGGAGCTCACAGCATGGAGCTAAACTGAGCTAAGCCAAGGACAAGCCAACCCAAGACTATAAGATCTCAGCTAGCAGAACGAAGACTGAGCAGAGCAGGGCTAACTAGCTAAGCAGAACTAGCTGACCAAGTGGTCCTTTTCTCTTAAAAGGGGCTATAGACAATAATGGCTCATTGCCAAAATCCAACTATTGGACATGCACATGTGTGTTATGTTCAATGGCATAAAATAGCAAAGTCATAACTACGTAACAAGCACACAAGCACAGTACAACTAATAACAAATTGTTTAACCTGTGGTCTTCAAACATGATGGAATGGGAAGTGAGAAAATCAGATTAAACCATCTGATTTCATTTGCAATACACTTGGTAAAACACACATGCACTTCCCTTTTCCCCAAGAGCTCCTGCCAAACCATGCATCTGCTGGACAGTCTTCTAAACCAAGACAAAGGAGGGTTGTGCAGTGGCACTTATTGTAGGAGAGGCAGTGGTCAAAGAAGTGTAGACCCTGAGACCCAGAGGGAACATTCAAGGTCATGTAGTCCTAGTCCAGTAATTTGTTTTATGAGTCACAAACCTCTTTAAAATCAGTGGCATCTTTACTTTCTAGACCACAGAAGACATGCATATATCTCAGCAGATAATTTCTCCTACCTTTTCAAGAGCTTCATGGACATATCAAGTGCCTGAATTTTCTGGCACTCCAGAGAGCCCATATCAAGAATGCCTAACCTATATAAAGTCATATTTGAGTTCTAATATCTGTGATCAGCAGTCTCTGGGTTGGGTAGCCCTGTTGGCAGGAAGAGAGCAGTAATGACGTGCCTAAATTCAGTGCAGGCTACAGTTTAATTCCCATGTGAGTTAATTATCTTCAGGAAATATTAAAACTCTGGGCTAGAGGTCAGCAGGTAGCATAGTGGTTAAGGTGCTGGACTCCCGCATGGCCAACTGTGGTTTAAGTCCCAGACCCAGGGGCTTGAAGATCACACCAGACATGTGTGTGTGCATGGCCAAAATCCCAAAAAAAAATAAAAAGAAGGATTGTGGCATGGTCATGTCCCCTGGAGGGGGGGAAGGGTGATTTATTGCTTTCTCTCTCTGTCTGATGAGCATACATGACATAGAGCAAAAAACTTTCTTTTTAAGAAAGATTTTTGCTATAGGGCACATGCACTCACCAGAGAGACAGAGAGACATAAAATGAGAAATCACCCCTTCCAAGGGGCATGGCCAAACTACTATCCTTTCTTTTCCATTGTCCTCTCAGGATTTTGGGCACACAAGCACATGTGCCCGGCATGAATTTTAAAGCAGATATGAGACTCAAATTATGGTCGACTACATGGAAGTCCAGTGACATAACCTTTATACTATCTGCTGGTCCCCAAAAACCTAAAAAAAGAAAAAAAAAAAAAACCTCTGAGCTAGTCTCATACCCTATTAGTCAAGGGCAGTAAATCCTATATAGCTGACTGTGGTTTGACTCCTAGTCACGGAGGCTTAAAAAACACACTTAGCACATGTGCTTGTGTGCCTCAGATCCCAACATGATGTAGAAATGGAGAAGGGATTGTGACATGACCATGCCCCATGAAGGGGTGCATTCTTCATTTCTTTCTGTCTCTGGTGAATGCATGTGTCCGCTAATAAACAAACAATATGGAAAATGAACATGAGTGAAAAGCAAATAACAGTAAACCATAAATGGTAAAGTAAAATATTAAAAAGGAAAAATATGAAAATTCTGCTAAATGGCCATAATAAAACTTCTAAAATCAATCAGCTGACATATCTCATAGTCTTTGAGTACTATTTTTGACAGTACCAAGTCACAAATGAAGTGAACAGATGCAACGGTGTTGAAAGATGACAACCCAGAGATTGTCAGGATTGTTGCCAATTGCTGACATAGCAGTAATACTCATTTGGATCTTCTGTTTCGTATATGTTCTCTTCAATGGTGTAGATGTTTTCCTCTGAGCGCATTCCCCCTGCTACTGCATTTGCTAGCCCAGAGGAAGGGATGTTGGCCAAAGAGATGAGTCTGTGGAAATAAAATGTTGTAGATGAATTAAGCACTTACTCGATAACATAGAATAGGGTTAAGAGAATGAGCTTTGCTAAAGAGAAAGCAACTGATGCAGTGCATGATCTTTAATTGAATGCTGACTTAGGAACACCATAAAATAACAATAAAATGATTTGGAGGACAATAGAGAAAATTTGAATTTAATCCTAATTTTCTTAGGTATAAAAAAGGGCATGGGATTATCTAAGAGTATATCCTTATTCTTATGAGTTGCAGGCTGAAATAAAAGTCAGAAAGTGTCATGATGTCCATAGCTTCCTTTACAAATGGTTCAGAAAAAAAATTGTTTATATGGGGTCAGCAGGTGGCATAGTGGTTATGGCATTAGACTCTCACTATCTGCTTTTCACTCATTTTCTCACATAGACTCTCACTAGACTCAACTGAGGTTTGATTCCTAGACCCAGCAGCTTGAAAATCACACTGGGTACATGTGCATGTGTGCCCAAAATCCCAAGAGGAGGATGGAGAAGAAAGGATTGTGCCATGGCCATCCTCCCTGGGGAGTGATTTCTCACTTTCCCTTTCTCTGTCGCTCTCCAGTGCTTGCATATACCCCATGGCAAAAATCTAAAATAAATAAATAAATATTTTAATTGTTTATATGGAGAAATAGATATAGCAAATGTGTCAACAGGCTAAATGAGGAGTTTAGGTGAAGGGTTTTATTGTTCCATGTACTGTTATTCAATTCTCTGGTGGGCTTGAACAATTTCAAAAAGAAAAGAATATATCATGGATCCAGTCAGACTTGAGTTTGAATTCTCTGTCACTTCCCAGCTGTATGACTTTAGATGAATTGTTTTATGTTGTTTTTAATTCAAGAAATATTTAGTGTGCTACATACTGTTCTGTGCAGCTGGAGACACAGCAACGAACAAAACACACACACATAAATCCTATAGAGGTTGATTATTAGTAACTTTTGTGCTTATTACTAATAAAATTAATACCTTAACATTATTATTATTATTATTATTACTATTATTAAAAAGCACATGCACAGGACAAGCAGATGGCATAGTGGTTAAGGTGCTGGACTTCCATGCAGTCAACTGCAGTTCGAATCCTGGACCTGGTGGCTTAAAACTCACACCAGGCACATGTGTGCGCGTGCCCAAAATTCCAAAAGGAGAATGGAGGAGAAGGGATTGAAATATTTCCATCCCACCAGGGGGTGATTTATCACTTTCTGTCCCTCTCTGTTTCTCTGGTGAGTGCACGTGCCCTATAGCAAATATCTCTCAAAAAGAAGCACATGCACATACACTAGAGAGAGCAAAAAACACATAGATGAGAGGGTCTGAGCATACCATAATCCCCTTTGGTCATGTACATATCCTGGGATCAAGCCGAACCAGGGATTTGAACTCAGTTGGGCATATGGCTTCCAGTATGGGAGACACTTGCATTACTGCTGAGCCACAGCAGCTGAGCCTATACCTTAACTTTAAAATTAAGGAAGCTAGTGGTATCAAGAAGTAAACAAAGAATCATGCTGTCTTTCTGGGACAAAGAGGAAGTATAAACTTAGATCCCAACACCCTAGGAAAGGATTTCTCAGAGCAAAACGTCAGGGCCTCCTACTTTCCCCCCACCCTATTCCATTATTCTTACCTTGAATTCTTTAATTCCTCTTTTTTATGAGAATACCCTAAATAAAAGGAGAGTAAAAATCAACAGAATGCTTTCATAAAGTAAATGAGATAAGAAATAAAATAGATTTGCTAGAGGCAAGAGTTGTTTAGGAAGAACTGTTCTCTTCTTAAAGTGAATTAAATCAAGCTTCCATTGTGTGTCTTAGTTTATTCTGTGAACTATACCAGAAAGTAATAAAGAGGGGCCAGCAGGTGGAGTGGTAGTTGGGGTGCTGGACTCCCACTGGACCAACAACGGTTCAGGTCCCAGGCCTGGTGGCTTGCTCTCTCTCTTTCTCTCTCTCTTTCTTTTTGTCTCTCTCTCTCTCTCTGGTGAGTGCATGTACCCTATGGCAAATTGAAAGTGATAATAATAATAGTAATAAATAAAATTAAATAATTTTTTTAAAAAAAGAAAATTATAAAAATGTAATATTATGAGGTGCCTGCTATATGTCTGGCAGTTTGCTAGGCACCAGCAATATGAAGATGAGCTATGAGTCTTAACTCCATAAAGCTTGCATTGAGGGAGGGAGAGAAGGAGAAGAAAGAAAATAGGAAGTAGGAAAATAAAATAATTTCAAATTGCGATAAAGAAGGAAACCAACACCACACTGAAACAGATAATAAAGAGAGTGGCTGTGAAATAACTCCGAACAAAGATGACTTTTAAGTGTAATTGTGAAAGGAAAGAATGAGTCAGCCAAGAAAAGAGCCAGAGGGAGCATTCTGGGTAGAGAGACCTTCTAGTCAAGATTCTGCTGAGTGCCTCAAACTGAAAACACAGCCAGATTAAGAGAGTGGCCCAGGGACAGACAGGTGGAGCAGTGGTTTAGGCAGCTGCATCCCACATGGCCAACTGCTGGTTCTCCATTAGAATAATATTAGTAACCAATTCATAGAGTAGTTAAGAGATTTTGAAGCATGTAAACATTTGACAGCTTCAAGACAGATTCACCACTGGTGGTTCCTTATCTTAGGAAACCCCGTCAGTCCAGGGCAAATCTGGGATGACTGGTCATCCCCCCCACACAGTCTGTGTTTGTGTATTAGTAAGAAAATCCATTCTAATGTATTACACTATGGGTTGTAAGGCTTTGGTTTCTGCCCTCTAAGAAAAGAGAATGTAACATAATTATGAAAGTGTGTGAGGAGGCTGGATGGTGGTGCAGTGGTGAAATACAATGCTCTGTGAGGCTAACCCATTTTGGAAGGTTCCAAGTTAGCATCCAGAGACCTCCCTGAACACACCACGATCAGGGGCCAGCTGGGGCTAAGGGTAGATCATAGCACAAGGATCCTACTCAGGAGCCTGTTCCTTCACTCAAGGAAGAAAGTAGTGGATAAACTTAAATTCATCTGGGGCAGCAGATGGCATAGCAGTTACATCACTGGACTCCCACATGGCTGATCATGGTTTAAGTCATGGACCTAGTGGATTGAAAATCACACCAGGCACATGTGTGTGCATGCCCAAGATTCCAAGAGAATGGAGGAAAAGAGATTTCAGAATGGCCATCCCCCTGAGGGATGATTTTTCACTCTCCCTCTCACTGTCTCTGTCTATGTCTCTCTCTCCAGCGAGTGCATGCACCTTAAGGCAAAAACTTCTAATAAAATAAATGTATCTAATTAAACATACTTTAAATGTGCAGTTTATTATATATAAATTATACTTTAATAAATATATATATATATATATATATATATATACACACACATATATACTTTAAAAACTTGTGTTCTGGGTGGAAGGATGGAAGAAAACAAATCTTATAACCCTGATTATGACCCAGTGTTAAAGGAATTTACTGTGACTCTAAAGAGCTATCTCTGAGGAATAAATACCACAGAAAAATGCATAGAAGGTGATAGTTTTTCTTGTTTTCTAATACATCTAGCCATATGCATGAATTAAAAACATTAGTGTTCTTTTTTATTTCTTTTTTTTTCTCTTTTTTTGGAGAGGTTTTTGCTATAGGGCGCATGCGCTCGCCATACAGAGACATAGAGACGAAAGCCAGAAATCACCCCCCAGAGGGGATGGTCACGTTGCAATCCCTTCTCCTCCATTCTCCTCTCGGGATCTGGCACGCATGCACACGTGCCTGGCGTGAGTTTTAAGCTACTGGGTCCAGGACGCGAACCGCAGTCGACTACGTGGGAGTCCAGCGACATAGCCATTACGCTAACTGCTGGTTCCCAAAACATTAGTGTTCTTAACCAAAGATAAGGGAACAGGTGCTAGAAGCAGCCTGCCTGGATTTGAATACCAACTTTGCCACTTACTGATTCTGAAACCTTGGAAAAGTAGCTTATTCTCTCTAAGCTTTTCCTCCACTGTAAAATGGGAATAAAATACTAGCTATTGTATAAGATGGTGACAATGATAAAATATGTGCAAAATTTTAGCACAGTTGCCTGCCCCAGATGAGCATCAGATAGAAATTAGCTATTATTAAAAAGAAATAAGAAGAAGAAAGAAATTAGCTATTATTATTGTTAAGGTCTGGAAGGACAAACAAGTACTTAGCCTAATAACCCTGAAGTATAATAATTATAAACATGTAGGTTTGTACCAGTTCGTTTATTAACAGTTCCTTGTCAGAGGGAAAGAAAAGTAATGTCAGGACCAGCAGTTGGCATAATGGCTGTCACTGGACTCCTATGTAGTTGACCACAGTTCAAGTCCTAGACCGGGTGGCTTAAATTCACATCGGGCTCATGTGCATGCGTGCCCAAAATCCCAAGAGGAGACTGGAGGAGAAGAGATTGTGGCATGACCATCCCCCCTGGGGGGTGATTTCTCGCTTTCTGTCTCTCTGTCTCTCTTTTTTTGGCACACACACACGCCCTATAGCAAAAACCTCTCCAAAACAAAAAAGAAAAGAAAAAAAAAGAAAAGTAATATCATTCAAGAATTAACTTACATTTTTAAGAAGTAACTTACATTTAAGAATTATAGCACCAACGATCAGAGCAAGAGTCAGCCCACCAGAAATTCCTGCTCCAATGTAGACATCTCTTCTGGTTGTTATCCCAGAATCTTCTTGTAAATCACTATCTAATATGAATGTTCTCTATGGAAACACAAACAGAATTTAAGTAGCAAATGGCCAAACATTGCTTGTACTTAGTCAGTTTTATAATCTGTAGATCACACTATTGCACTTACAGCACCACAGGGTTACCGGGACCCTGAGATCACCCTTGATCTGTCTCCTAGATTTGCCTGAAACCACACCAAGAAAGGGATTAGCTTAATCTTTGAAGTTAGCAAGGAAATAAAACGTGCAGCTCTGTGTTAAGAGTAGAAAGGAGGGAACCAGCAGTTAGCGTAATGACTATGTCGCTGGACTCCCACGTAGTCAACCGCGGTTCGTGTCCCGGACCCGGTGGCTTAAATCTCACGCCGGGCGCATGTGCGTGTGTGCCCAAGATCCCGAGAGGAGAATGGAGGAGAAGGGATTGCGGCGTGACCATCCCCCCTGGGGGGGTGATTTCTCGCTTTCTGTCTCTATGTCTCTCTCTGTCTGTCTGGCGAGCGCACGCGCCCTACAGTGAAAATCTCTCCAAAAAAAAAAAAAAGAGTAGAAAGGAGTTCTTAGTGAATGAACCCCTCCCACCAAATAAAAATGGGTTTTAGAGTGGATTCCTGTTCATTCAAGATCTCCTAGTGTTCTTGAAAGAGTTTTAGAATGATCAGCATTTCGTGTCTTGCTGCAAAACCCCTACTTTCATAGTAAAGCAGTGAGTTAAGGGTCAGGGCTTTGAAGCCAGAGAGTCCTGACTTCAAATCTCAGCTCTGTCACTAAGAACTGAGTGACCTTGTAGAATTATTGGAAAGATTAAGTGACAAAAATATGAAATGTTTAGCACAGGGTCTGGTACATGATGAATGCTCAGTCAATGGTAACTATTATTGCTGCTCCTCTAGTTTGATTCTCTGAAACTAAGAGCCATACAAAAAATCCAGTTTGTAAAATTTCAGCTTACGTTCTAGCTTTAAAAACAAAAATAGTAAAGTACTTTTAAAACAAATAATCACAGAAGTTAAATCTCCTATTCATTCAATACTCACTAATTTATTCAATGCACATTACTCAATGAGGTATTGTGGGCCCACAGAGGTACTTAAAAGGCAGTCCTAAATTGCAAAGAGGGGAGGGACAAACACAGGATGGTAAATATCAGTTGTAAATTCCTCAGTAGGAGATTGAGTCAAATGAATGCAGAGTCCTGGATATGGCCTCAAAGAAATTGTAAGTTTGATTTCTAGTAGTTTTCCTCTTATTCTGAGAAGGTAGGAAACACTAAAATTATGGTTAATTGAAATGTAGCTTTATTCACAGTTAAATATGTAAATTCTTGGCTTTGAATATTCCTGATTGGTGTTTTGTCATATGTAAGTAAGTATATTTAAACAGACAAATCATCTTTTTCATTAGAATTGCAATGCAAGTAAAAAGAGACATACTCTAGGGAAGTGAAGAGTCTTTGAACCAGCCACAGTGACACATAGTTGTGAAACTGGAAGAGATTTTTTGTTTTTCAGGACTTAGTATGTGCCGGTCACTTTACATACATAACCTTGTTCCAACCTTATAATAGGCCTATGCTAGGGCTGGAAATGTTACAGTTACATGTTACAGTCTAGAGATCTGAAGTTAAGGGAGGTGAAGGTTTTCTCCCTCAGTTAAGAGGTGGGCATAAAGGAAGTCCAAAGTCATACTTTCTTTGCTCCAAGTTAAGCATAGTATTAACTCAAAAAGGAAAAAAAAAATAAAAACTTACTGTTTGATTTTTGTCATGGAAGGTTTCCAGTGTTTGTGTCTCTGCTATGTAAAAAAAGAAAAGACATGGAAAAATAGCCAATATAATAGTTCTTACTTTCATTTATTGAGTTTTTTAAAAGTCTTCAAGATTCCCATAATACTATTTGATACTCCATACTCACCACAATAATTGGAAGACCAACCAAAGTTGCTGAATACCTACAAACCAACTTCAATATGGCCACATTTTTTTCATCCAGGAACCTATTAGTTATATTTTATGAAATGGTTAGTTCTTCCAGGAAGACCTATGTTGAATCTGTAGTTTGAATTGTCCGTAAGGCCCTAATGTATTCAACAAAAATCCAAAAGCAACAATGATACTCGGGCATTATATTCTAATTAGACTTTGAAAAACAACAAAAAATCGTTTTCTTGGAAAAGTTTAACATTTAGTCATTAGGAGGGCAGCCAGATATTTGGCATATGAATGACAATAATAACTATAGCTACAGTTTCCTAGGACCCAGATATCATGCCAAACTCTTTAAGTGGTTTAGCTCCTTCAGCATTCAAAACAACTGTCCTAAAGGAGGGACTATTAGTCTCTTTACACAGATGAAGAAATTTAGAGTTAGGGAAGTTCAGAGACTTACCCAAAGTCACACGGCTTAGTGTATTATAGACCTAGCCTTCGCTTTAGGTTCATGAGGCTTCAAATGTACACTCTCAACTATTCTAACTTCAACCATGTTCAGCTCAGCATCGCCACTGCTGTGGAAAAGACCACATAGCTCAATTGCCAGCTCACTATTTTTCCTTTTTGTTCATATTCTTCATCCGTTTGTCTACTCAATGAATATGAGCACCCTTATTCTATGGCCGGCCTAGAGGACAGAGCAGCAAGTAAGATGGACATGGCCCCTGACCTCATGGACACTGCATTCTAAAAATAAATAGACCGCCAGCTTTGGGAAAACTAAGCATGCTTATTCATTTTTCTGGCTGAGTCAGAGAATTTGAAACTCCTTAAATGTCACGGTCACCTTCTAGAAACCTTAAAGTCTAAAGTTTAACGTGTGTAAAGGGTTTAACTAAATGCTGGCTTAACATGCTATGATTTAAATGTATAAAGCATAGTCTTAGCCTAAAGTTATTTAAGAAAAAGAATTATAGGAAAGAGATTATGTTTCACTTACCATGGCTTTTATTACCCAGAAGGAATTTAAAGTTAAAAACCACATTGGTGGAACTGCTACGTAAACAGGAATCTTAACCACACATTAGTTTCAACTGTAAATACAGTTTCTGCTTCCCTGTAGTTATTCTTGGCCTCAATGGTAAAACTATCTGACTTCTATTTCATTTTGTTTTAAATTTTATTTTGCTATGAAAATGACCAGTAAAATAGACTATTGTTGTATTATCATAGATTGTTTTTGCATAGATTTAGAGGAAGTTGCAGTGTTTTTCCTGAAGAACCCAAGATATAACTGGTATAGAGGTGTCAGTGGCGGTGAGAAGTGACATCATATAAGTGTATAAATTGGGTCAGCCAGGGGCATGGCGGTTAAGGTGACTGGTTGCCACATAGCTGTCAGATTGGCTCCTGAATAGCCTTTAGGTAATTTCCCATGAGAAAATAAGGAGATGGTTCCATCAACTTTTGGCCAGAATCCTTCAGATAGAGCTCTCCCTTATTGGTAAATGACACCCTAGTAGGGTTGATAAGGTCACAGTGGCAAGTAAGTTAGTCAAATTACCCGCCATTCTTGTGACCCTACCTCTCCACTCCTTCCATGTAAATATATCAAGTCTCCTTAATAGAGTTGGCAGACGCACCTCCAGTTTCAGACCCCTGGGCACTCTTTTTCTCAATAAACTCCTTTTTCTCTTGCTATGGTGCCTCCTGAGTCTTACTCTGAACCCTAACAAGGGCTAATGGTGCAGTTTGAGTCCTGGACCTGGTGGCTTGGAAAACAGACTGGGTACATGTGGGCATGCCCAAAGTCCTGAGAGAAGAATGGAGGAGAAGAGATTACAGCATGGCCATCCTCCCTGAGGAGGTGCTTTCTCTCTCTCTGTCTGTCTCTCCAGTGAAAGCACATGCCCTATACCAATTTTTTTAATTATATAGATTTAATAGCTACCATCTATTCAGAATGCATTATGTGCCAGACATGGTACTTAGCACTATATATGCACAATTTCATTTAACCCTCATCACAATAGTATTATTTTCCCCATTTTTCAGATAAAGAATTGAGTTTCAAAGAGGTAATTTGTGCAAGATCATACACCTATTCATTGGGTAAGTCACTCTAGAGCTGAGAACTCACTGGTAACCCAGTCTTGCCTCCTTCAGCTAGAAGAGAGATAATATTTGTTCTATGTTCATGAGTTTAGGAGATTCCAATTCTAAATGTAGTAGAGTCTTGTAAGACAAAGGCTTATGTAGTTATATATACTTTTTGTTTAATGTGGGATGTTAGTAGAGCCTTGGGCTCTACTACATTTTACACCAAAATATGAAATATAATAACATCCCACATTAAGCAAAAAGTATATATAACTACGTAAGTGCTCTAGTTTAAATGTGCTCCTCAATTCATGTGTTAAATGGCAAGCTATTACAAAGTTATTATATTAAAAGGAGACATAATCTAATTATGGTATTGAAAGGTAGGACTTTTGGAAATGATTAGACATCAGGGAGGGGCCCCCATGATGAGTGCTGGTAGGTTTATAAGGAAAGGAGAAAAAAGACAGAATTGCTCTACTCTTTCTTGCCATGTGACCCCTCAGCCAGAAAACTCTCAACAGAAGTGGCCTCTAGATTTTGGACCTCCAAACTACAACTGGAATAAACCTTTACCCTCTTAAATTCCCATACATAGGAATTTCTGTTATTAACAATAGAAGGAGCTAAAACTTAAGAATTGACTTGTCCACAACTAGCTTATATAGTATTATATATTCTCCATGAATCATGAAATATTCATCAATTTCAATTTCTTACTTTATTGTCCTATTTTGAAGCCATTCCCTTTTTGTTTTGTTCAAATATTTTTGCCATCAGGCCATTGGAAAGCTCAGAAATTCTAGGCACTTGCCTCTATTTCCTGATGCTTGAGAGGGCCCCATTTTTGTTGCTCTACAGAGAAGAAACTAACAAGTAAAAACTAAAGGGAAAG